GGCGGGTGGAGATCGTCACTGCCGGCACTGCCACCTGGGAGGCGCAATCATCAGTGTGAGTGTGAGTGCGAGTGTGAGCGCGAGTGCGAGTGTGAGCACGCGTGCACAAACCCCACGGGGTGGGCACAGGCGTGTCCCTGCAGCTGTGTTTGTCTGGCATACGAAGGCCAAGGGCCGGTATAAAGGACAACCCTTGAGGTTACCCCATGAAATCCACGAATCTGGGGAGAGACACACACCACAATCCCCACACCCGCACTCTCTCTCACTCTCGGGGGTCTCGTGCTGTGCCCCGCGGAGCAGGCCGGCTGTGCAGCCTGCGTGGGCAGCACCGGCGGCGCCCGCTTGTCCCGCTCCCGCTGCGGGGCCTGGCGGGCGGACGCAGCCTGGCCTCTGGCCACGTCACTGCTTGCGCACTGGCAGGGACACTCCTGCACTGGCGATCAGGGATGTGTCCTGTCTCCTGGTGTCCCGCCTCACGGCCACGTGAGCTTTTCTACAGCTGGAGGTGCTGCGTCACCAGGATCTCAGCACACAAAAAGGGGAAAAAAACAAACAAAAAACACCACTCTGCCTTTTCTGAGGAGTGTGGGGGCGGGCATGGAGTCTCGGTTCCGGAGGGGCACGTCTCCTCCATGTGCTTTCTGGAAGCTTCCCCTGCTGTCACCGGCACGCGTGCACAGCGGAGCTCTGTGTGCAGCGCTCAGCGCGTTCACGCTCCCCGGCGCGGAGCGCCTCTGACGCGCCCTCTTCGGCAAGGGGACCCGGTACAAGGAGATTGGCTGCGGGCACGTGGCCTGGTTCTGCGCGGTCCCTGCGGTGACTTCGGGATGTCTCTGTTCTTGCACGGCACGGCGGGGGCATGGGCTAGCCCACCACTTTCTCATGGAAAGCCAGCGTGAGCCCTGCTGTGAAAGTTCTTATTTATTTAAGCTAAAAACCTTATTTATTTAAGCTTTATTTAAGCTTAAAAGCTGAAAATAATTTGACCTAAGAGAAGCAACTCCATACCTGCCAGATACATGCTGTGAGCTATAGCTGCTCTGAGATAGAAAACTTACAGTTGGAGCCAATTAAGAGTTGGTCAAATATTTCTAATGTTTTCCTGCTACTACTTTTTTTTTTCTCTTTTTATTTAATTTAAAAGGCACAAGCAGTTGGATGTTGTAGAGATACTACCAAAAGGAAAAAAAAATGAGCATTTTGTTCTTGTATCAGCTTAACGGCAGCAACTGGTGCTGCCCAGTCTGCAAGTACGAGTAGGAAAAATTTGAACAAACTCATGCCTTTGTGTATGATCAAAACATTCATCCAACCAGTTTGAGTTACTCTGCCTTATTTTCTTTTTAAGCTACTGCTTGTTAAGATACTGTCACATCACATCAGAGAACATTTCAAATACTCAAACTATTACAGCATGCCATATTGCCTTGAAAATGTGTGTCAAACTAGTCTGCTTCCAGTGAGCTGTGGCAGTGAGCTGTGGCTGGGCAGCCCTTGCCCCCCCCCGCCACCCCCCTTTTTTTTGTTTAATACTATGTTTTAATAAAGTTTTTAGTGTTTTTGTGTAGTTGTAGTCATTTGGCAAAACTTGTCATCTGAAGCTTATCCACAATACGGGTACCCAGTGTTTGAGATGGTCACTCTTCCCTTCTGCTGTAAAGGTGAAGCCAGCACTTGCAACGTTTCTTCGAGGGGTGAGGACTGCAGAGGACACAGAAAATGAGGCCGGTGCCTTCGGGTTGATTTGGGCACGGGCTGGAGGGAAGCCCCGGAGGCGCGAGGAGCAGCGCGACGGCTGCCAGCGGAGGAGGAAAGGAGGAGACGCGGGGCCTGCGCCCTCGTCCAGCGAGTGCCGCTGCCGCGGGGCCGGCGCAGTCTGGGCTGCTCAGGTCATCCCCAGCCAGACACCAGGCGTTATTTACCAGCAGGTTATGGAGCAGAACTAACACTTTTCTCCCGCTCCTCCCTCACGGTTCTTAACAGTGACTGAAGCAATATGTTGCTCTATTTAACTAGAATGGAAGAGCATGTGTTTAAAAAAAGGTTCACGCTTTGTATGGGGAAATTTTCTTTGTTTTTAATTTACAGCAGAAAGAATATAAAGCATTCAGAAAACATTTTCCATATTTTAAGGGCAATTCAAAACATTTGCATGGTTCCAGCAGCTGAGTTCTTCAACAGATCCATTGATTCAGTGATGCTTTACATGCACGGTTACAAAAATAAAACTTACAAAAGAGAAGACATCTATACTAGTTTTACATGCAAGTCTTGGGGACCCCCCATTGGGCACCAACTACTGTGTGGAACTGCCGTAAGCGTGCAACCAGAGAGGGGGTTCATGTTATATTCTGCATTTCCGTCACACAGTATTACTGCTGTTGAATGTGTTTCACAAAGGAGCAATTCCATTACCAGAAGATGGCTCTGGCTCCTGGCACTTGGGAATGTGGATTTTCCCAGAAAGCTGCACTCACGTATACATCTTCTGTGAAAATGGAAGTTCCACAATCAAGAAAAGGGTGAGCAGAATCACTTCACTTCAGTGGGCGCCTTTTAACGCGCCAGTGCTGCACTGAAGGGCTATGACCCGACACAACAAAGCACTTCGAAGCCATACTTAACTTCAAGCATGCAAGTAGTTCTGCTGATCTTAGGGAATTACCTGCATGTTTAAGAGTAAGTACATGCTTAAAACGTTTGGCTGAAGCAGGATCTAGATTAGTAGATACACCACCAGGCCCATGGATCTGGAAGAGTAATTGGAAACGGCTCTGTATATTACTGAATCATTTTGTATAAATGTAGGGGGTTAAAATAGTTCCACTGAGGTCATTACTCTTGTTAGGAAAAGATCAATTCTATATTGTCACATACTGGTTAATGGGAGCAACATTTCCATTTCAAAACATCAGAGTTCTTCAGTAGTAATACAGAGCAATCCAGTTCATCCCAAAGGAGATTCTTCTGCAGTTCCCATTCCTTTTTGGGGGTGTGTGGAATATTTTATGCTTTAAGTCTCAATTCAATACAATAAATTGAGGCTATGAGGCTGCCCACAGCCACCATGTGAGAGCCAGGACATCCTTCCTTCATTTTTCCTTTCTTTCTTTCTTTCTTTCTCTTTTTTGTTTGATTTAGAATCAGGTTGTAAAGCAGCAGTTCACAAATGTACAAGAGAATTCCGTTAATGAGCTATAGCACATCTACTGTAATTCAATGCTGGCAGTGAAAAGAAGTAATTAAAAACAAGTACAATTATAGAAAAGGCACCAAGAGCACTGACCCCAGTTTTTTTTTTTTTTTTGCCACAATCTTTGTTTTTACTCTTCTTTTAAAGACACCAGTTTCGAAGCTTCTCACACGCGAATAATTTTAGGCTTCACACCAAGCCTTGCAGTTGGTGGCTGGGATCAAGTAAGAACAACTATTCCAAAAGCAACAATCTCAAATTTACACCAGTCCATTCAGAACTTTTTAAGTGCCACTAGCAGCACAAACCCTCAGGAGCCGGTTCTGATCTCAGACACATCTAAGGAATCCACAGCAGCAACACGGACTTGCGGAGTTACTTCCTTTACATTCCTGCATAATTTAAGATCAGACCCTGACTCCTACTGCTGACACTCTGAGACAGTTTTAAATTATTTCAATTTTAGAACATCTAATTTCTTTGGCTCCTCACTATGTGGAAATAGCAATATACCATGACACCCCTACAAGATCAGTTTGCATCGTTAAGTTTTGTGTCTGTGTGTGTGTGTGCAATTTTTATTACATTTTCTGACTTCCAGCAGGAGATATGAAAATGTGAAACATATTTTCTACTTTCATACTATTTTTTTTTTCATTTTATATTCATTCTAAGTGTTCTTTATTGGAGTGAGTGTATGGTGTTAAGCTAAATACATTTTTTGTACTCTTATGATTATCTGCTCTGCAAAAGTAACTTAATTTTCTTAAGCAATATTAGCATTCACATTACTTGGCACCATTGGCAAAAAAAAAAAAAAAAGAAAAAAAAAGAAAAGGGGAGGGGGAAGAAGGAAGGAACAAACAAATTCAACCAAACCAAACTCCTGGTAGCCAAAATTAAATGTAAACATATCCTTTTTTTTTTCTTTTTTTTTTCCTTTTTTTTTAAGTAATGTTGCTCTGCCTTTTTTTCCTAAGTCTAAATACAGTAGCTCTTTTTTTTGCCATTTAGTCATGCTTTAGCAAAAATGTTCTTCTAAAGAACATTTAAAATAAAGTTTCTTATAGTGAAATAAAGTTTTTGTTTCATTTTACAGACCATAGCCACTAATGCTTTGCTTTTTTCATTTCTTTTTCTTGAGTTCATGCACATATCTCTTTGTTTTAATATATACAGTATGTACAAACAATACATCCACACTCTTCTCGTTCAGACAAAACTATACAAATAATAATTTTATCTTGCCAAGTTATTGACCCTTTGTGAATAAAATATTTAGTAATTAATCAATATATTCCCTTTCAAATATTTTTTCTCATTTTCCATTTCTACCTTCTATATATACAGAAACTGCCCAGATTTTGATGAGATAGCCAAAATAAGAAATTTACTGGCCAGAATGCAGCACCACTCTGATCTTTAGGTGGTATAAAATGTCCAGGCAACATATGCACGTGACTCTACAAAACAACAAGGTTTGACAGTCACTCAAGATAAAAAGCTACATGTTTTACAAATTAAGAACATAATTAAAATAATAGTACATGGAAGTAAGGCTAGAAAATAAAGTGCTGAGTATGAGAAAAGTACATGACAATCGATTTGCAGGTTCTAGTAAAAATACCAAAAAGAAACATTTTAAAACTTGCTTAAGCTGCTCTCTCCATTTCTCATGCAGTACCCGTTTATCTCACATACCAACCCCTTCTGTACGCTCCCCCGGGATGTATTAAAAACCTGCAGATTTAAAAAGTTGCATTAAGTGTGCTGTAGAGATTTAAATAAAACACAAAGGACAGAAGTGCGAAGGAGATGAGGACGCGTGGACCCAATAACGATGTACTGATCTAAGCCCCTCCACTGAGACTCCCAAAAGCTTCAGTTTCTTGGAGACAACCGACAGTGCAGGAACGGCATTCTTGTGTTGCTTGTGCATTCCCACCTTTTCTTAACGATATTTTTGGTATAGTATTTGTACAGTTCCACATGTTGTTTAATACAGCCCTATGTGAAAAGGATAATTAATCGCTTCTTCCTTCTTGGAGAATGAAGCAACTCTCATTTCTTCCCGGTGTCATTTTTTCCCCGTGATCCAACAGAATATTGAGTTCCAAGATGTCTTGCTGAACAAATTAAAAGTTGTCCATGAAAGTGCAAATGCAATGACCAAAACATTACTGTTAAAATCCTGCAGCTGCTATTTCCAGCACTGCAGTGGGTATTTTTGTCGTTCTTGCATGTCTCTGCTAAAAACAGAAAATGAAAACAGTCTGAAAAGCAATGTCACATTGCTACGGGATGCTGCTGCGTATCTTCAAGTTCCTTGGCCTTTTTCAATTCTTTCACTCTGCAAAAACAAAGAGGAGCTATATAACACTTCTATTCTCAGAAGCTTGAAAGGGAGCCAAAAATCAAAATGATTTCTCACTATACCCTCCAGTGCAGAAGAAGCCAACACCCAGAGAAATGAAAAGAGGGCAATGTGTTCCTGACCCCATAAACAGTTGGAAGCGCAAGGATGGGAAAGCATAAATCTGAGACAGAACATAGTTGGAAGGATACGCTAATTCCCAGCTACTGTTTGCTTTTTTTTCCCTGATTTACTTTTTTTCTATGTATATGTACCTATGCATGTCTGTACATGTGTGCGTTTAACTACAGCTTG